TTTGCCAGTAATTTGTATTTGGAAATTTACTTGTAATTTCGTGTGGTGGCGGATCTCCAAAACTGTCGAAATAGAACACTCTTTTTTGAGAATCACCGTACAAAGCGACCCAATGTGAACCTGGCTCATAGCTCTTATCGAGATTGTATATGACACTAAACGGGTACTTGGGGGGAAGACTGACTTGGTCTATCGAAAGCACGTCTAAGAAGCTCGAAGCTAGCGAGGGCGTCAGCTTGATTATTCTTCGGATTTCGTTTTCGTCCATTTATAAGTCCGTGCACAATAAAATATACAAACAAAACAATAGTGTAAATTATGCTTACAGCACAAAAAATGAGTTCGTTGTAACGATTGCAAGAGTCGGGAAGTTCAGGAACTGAAACATCCATTTAATGCCTTTTCAAAACTTTCGGTGTGCTTTTATACTTCCACGAAAGAACCTTGAATCTGTAGTGTCTTCTTTTCAATAAAACTCCTCGGGCTACTTGCTTTCTCTCCCTCTTTGTCCGTCCGCTCATAAGTTGATGAATCATATCCTTTGTACCTTCATTCTTGTACATTTTATTTAGAAAATCGATGGGAACGGTGTCAGCACCAACAACAGGATTCTTGGCCCACTGTTTGAGAAGAGCTTCAGCATTAAAAGTCGTTGCTTTTCCTTTTTTATCTTTTAAGAATCCCTTTTCTGATATCCCAAACGTATCTGGGGCCCGTCGGAGTTTCCCTTTTAAAGAATTTGCAATTTCTAAGGCTTTGGAAGGAGTGATTGGAGGAAGGGCTTTCCAACCCGTAAAGGGTTGGCGTTCACTTTTTGGAGTCGTATTTTTTGGGGTTCTACGGCTGACAGGTGTAAAAAATTCATGGCCTTCTTCGTTTTCGGGGTCAGGGGATTGTTCTGATTCGAGGTCGGGGATTTGTTCTGAATTGGGCTCATGTTCTTCTTCCCGGTTCTCAGAATGTTTTGGGACAAATCGACGTTTTATTCTAACCCTCGGAGTTTTCCCAGCAGTTCTCTGAACTTCCTTATAAATTTTGGCAAACAGTTCCTCGTATGCTCCATCATCATCTACTTTTGAGATTGATTTTCCCGTTTTGGCCCCTGTCGATCCATCTTCAAAAGTAACCTTAACAGGTTTATTATCCATCTCTCTTTTTCTGCGAAGATAATCAGGCATTTGTTGGTTATATTTCAAATACTTTGTGCCCACATTGCCTTTTTGATGCAAGGTCTTGTTGACATTTGATTGAGAAAAATCTTCAGAGGTTGTTGTGTTTAGAATATTATTGTAAAAATCCTCTGGCACTAGGAAAAATTTTTTCATTTTAGGAATAATCTCGACGCTTCAAGTAGTGCAGGAATAATTAAGGCAGCAAATGGAAGACCGGCTCCTTTCTGAAGATGTTTAAGCCCCGAGGCGGTAGACCTTTTTCGACTCAATTCGCGAATAAAGGTAGCGTATGGCAACAACTTTTTCCTTTGGTGGGGAGTTAAATGGATGTTCCCTTGAACAAGATTATAACAGATCTCCACAATTGCTTGGACTTGTTCTGGAGAGCAAGAACTTAAAAACAATTTTCGACTTTCAGGACTCTTGAACGACGCCAATTTTTTTAGAAACAAGACATGCTTTTGAATAAGCTTCATAAACTAGATTTTTGGTTGTTCTCTTTGCTATTTATACTTTGTACACCACCATGGAGTCTGTCGAAAAAATGTTTGTACGTAGTCTCAAATCAACAGGTGTCTTTGGATGTAGATCGATTAAAAGATAGCCGAATTGTTCCTTTGTTGCATCACGATATGCTTCCATAAATCCCTTTTTACCGGGGAAAATTTGTGAGCCTAGTGTTCGTACTTGAAGTTCAGCGTTCGGAGCTCTCATTAAAATGATATATTGGGAATTTATGCGTGGAACACGGAGTTTTGGTTCGAAAATTGATTGACTCAATGTAATCACACCCAAGTTTTGATGATGCGCCTTCTTTGTGTAAAGCTCTGTGAGGTACTGAGGGTCTATCGATGTAATCAGGTCGTCCAACACAAGGAGCAAAGGTTTTTTTGAATTTTTTATTAGCTCATCATCCGGGAGTCCTGAAACAACTTTAATTCCCTGTTTTGCTAGATGTGTAACATGTTCTCCAAACTCTCCATAACAATAAACCACATCCTTTGGCGGGGGATCAAAAATTTTACGCGCATTTTCTATAATTTGGAGCATTAAGGACGTCTTTCCGCTGCCTGAAGAACCTCCTAATAAAAGACCAGATGGTAGGTGAAGTTTCAACTCCGTAGCAGAGAAAGCCATTGTTTAGCCCGAAATACAAAAATTTTTCTGTCTTAAATACTTTTTCTGCTCCGTCTAACGCTCGTTTCTTCAAAATGTCTCTGAGAATTCAAGATTTCTTGAGGACCAATTGTACGTGTCCCAACAACTTTGACTGTTATCGTCCTTTTGGGTAATTTTTTGCATTAATGATTTTTTAAAATGTCCTTTTTAAGGTATCTGGAACCCCTTATATGCTTGGATTCTAATTATAATGTTGGAAAGACGCTCGATGAAAATTGTTTCTTGAACTTCTCCATCAAATTCTGGCCCTTGGCTAGCTTAATCCTTGGAATAGTTGCTTTCTTCTTCACTGTAAGATCAAATTCAATATATCATTTTATACCGATTTTAGCTTCTAATCCTCATTTGCTCAGGATTAATTGGGGTCCGTGTGAACAAATGTTGTCAATGTCGTAGCAAGGTCATTGAGGAGATCGATATCAACGAATAAAACATTGTGGGTTTTTAAAAAAATATTGTTGTGTCCAAAACAAAATGTTAATCATCAATAAAAATTTTTGTAATCACTAGACTTTTGATTCTGGTTTTGTCATAGATCTTACAGTTGAGGTGCAAGCAGATAAAAGTATAAATACGTATGTTTTGACTTATTTGGACACTAGATATGGTTCTTGTACCCTTTGACTCTTCGAAAATAGTCGACTTTTCGCCTCAGGGCAAGACTCAATACGGTAGAAGTTTTCAATATGGTTCTGGATTTTCTTCATCTCCCTTTTATGCGGGAAAAATGTTTCATCGCGGGATGGGAAGAATACACAGAGGGCATGGCTTAGGATCAGTTCTTGGTAATGTGTGGCGTTATTTTGCTCCTGTCTTGAAAGCTGCGGGGCAGAGTTTGGGAAAAGAAGCCTTGGAAACGGGGAGTCGTATTCTCGGAGATATGGCTCAACCACAGAGTGAAGATTTGAAGACCATAATGGTTCGCAACACCTCACAAGGAGCTCGGAATTTGTTGCGCAAGGCTTCAAATAAATATTTGCATAAAGGGGAGGGAAGGAAACGAAAGGCATCAGGGCGCAAAGGAATGATAAAGAAGAAAAGGACCGATGTGTTTGGCATGTACTAAACAGTATATAAAGGAACATTAGGCCTTACTGCTTCATTATTAACATGTCGTTTAAGAAGATTGATGCTCGAAGTGAAGAGAGTGTTTCGTCATCTCTCGATGTTTTCAATGTCCCCGAAACAAATATATCAGCGTCTCATTCCCAATTTAGTGAATATTTAACCCTAAACCCAATTTCTGAAACTCCTTACCAATTTAAAGTAATGCCTGGAAGCTCTTTTGTTGATTTGACAAAAACTTTTCTTATGACATCGATGAAAATGCAAAAATCATCAGATAATGGTCAAACTTGGATAAATATTGAAGCCAATGATAAGGTCGCTCCTATCCAAGGCATTGGGGCAACCTTTATTCAAAATATGAGACTACTAATAAACGGCCAGGAGGTTTACCATTCAAATTCTTTACAAAGCTGGAGAACCTACTTTGACCTTTTGCTTAATTTCCCCTCAACTGCCAGTCAAACTTATCTCTCCTCTCTGGGATGGTATGATAGTGTAAAATTTAACGATGAAACGGACTCGGGGTTCCAAAAGCGCCGCGCAATGTTTGTGGGAGGACAGGAAGCGCACTTTGTAACAAGGCTTTTCTGCGAGCTCGCAAATGTTCCAAAATTAATGCTTAATCACACGGATCTTGTGTTGGAGATTACGCCTGCAAAGAATTTGTTTTGTATTGAGAGTAATGTGACAAATCAAGCAACGCAGTTCCGTCTTACCATAACCTCCTGTAAATTATATGTGAAAACTGTGGATTTAAACGATGGTGTGGGAATGGGATTTGCCAATACTTTAATTAAAAATCCCGCAATCTATCCAATCAGGAAAACGGATTTGAAATCCTTTTTCATTTCTCAAGGCAGACAAGAATATGTTACAACCTTAAGTACAGACCAGGTCCCTCGGAGGGTTGTTTTTGGTTTAACAAATCACCCTGATGTCCAAGACTCTTCGAAAAAGTCTCCCTTTAATTTTGTACACAGTGACCTAAGATCCGTTACTCTCTCTGCTAATGGTCAACAATTCCCTTGCATCCCTTATGAAATGGATTTTACAAAAGATAATTTTATTAGGGCCTATCATGATTTTAATGAGGCTTTGGGTTTCGCATTTACCGATTATTCATGCACTATCGATAGGGAAATGTACAAAAAGGGTTTTACGATCTTTGTCTTGAATATGACAACAACCTTAGAAGATGACAACTGCATGGACTTGATCAGAAACGGACCTGTTTCGTTAAGACTTGCTTTTAACACTCCCGTCGGGGAATCAGGTCTTAGCCTGATTGCTATGATCGAATATGACGCCACAATGCTTGTCGATAATAACCGAAACGTTCAAATGTCCTACAGCGTATAAAAAATAGAAAATGTTAGTTTGAAAATCCCTCGGAATTGGCAACAAAACTTTTTTATGGCATTGTGTCTTTTTACCGCAAAAAAAAAAAATACAAAGAAAAAAATGTCGAGAAATAAAAAATGTTTTTTTTTTTTTTTGTTGTCGCGATTCATTCGGTTATCTTATAATTGTATTATTTTTCAGTGAAACATACTCTGGTCGACACCGGATACTGAGCGCTTCATGAGTACCCGTATGGTATGCTGTTTTCGACATTTTTATTCTGTTTTCAGATCAAGTTCAAGGGGGATTTAAATGGCTCCTGTGGTATTTCGGGTCCTTGTGAAGAAGATGAAGACTGTATGTCTTTTGCCCAAAGACCGAATTTGGCGATAACATGTTTGCCGAAAAATTTTGAAGGATTGGATACGCTGGTTTCGAAGAATAACAATTTGGTGATCGTAATCTGGGTGCTGCTAGCTGTTATCGTGATCCTCATCCTTTTCAATTTTTACATTTTTTATCGAAGAAGGGGAAGTCATAAGAGACTCTCCGAGGATATCTGAAAATGCATATCTATCTCTCTTTTTTCATTTGTTATGGATAAAAATTTTATATGAATTGATCTCGGTTATTTCTTCGTTGAATCTGTTGGAACTTTACGCAACATTTAATCTTGACGGTTTTTTTTTTGAATAAACGAATAAATGGGAGGGTTTTAGCATTCCGTGGAAAGATTGCGATGCACGTCAAGATTTTGCGCTCAAAGGGTTATCTTTCAACACATAAGTTGGCGTTCTGTTCCCTCTTATGAAAGTGTCCAAAAATCACTCTTAATGAAGGTTTCTTTGGAAGGGGTCAGACGAAAGGCGAAATATTGCGTAAAATGAAGAGACTTTCCGTCTTGTTCCAGACTTTAAAAGATTTTTTGAATAAACGAATAAAAGTTATTGGATTCTTAATCCTTTTGAAAAGGGTAAAAAGTATTTCATCATCATTGAGTCGAAAAGTTTATTGAAGGGTCATCAACCTTTATTGATGTACCAGACTTACTCTTGATCCTTCCGCTTTTCCGGAAAAAATCACAAACATAAATCGCAACCTCTAGGTTGCGCAACATTCATAACAGGTTGCGCAACACCCCGCAACCTCTTGCCCTCCCGCAACCTCTAGGTTGCGCAACAACCCTCAATCCTCCTCTTTTCCCCACTTTCTCACCCTTTTTCAATTTTTTACCGCAAATTCCCCCTGACCTCTCTCCCCACTCTCCTCCAATCCCACACTCTCTCACCTTTTTCATTTTTTTTACCACAATTTCATCGCGTCCTTTCAATTACGACACCCTCTCATCTTTTTTGAAATTTGACCGCAAAATTCCCCTGACCTCTCTCCCCACTCTCCTCCAATCCCACACTCTCTCATCTTTTTCATTTTTTACCACAATTTCATCGCGTCCTTTCAATTACGACACCCTCTCATCTTTTTTGAAATTTGACCGCAAAATTCCCCTGACCTCTCTCCCCACTCTCCTCCAATCCCACACTCTCTCATCTTTTTCATTTTTTACCGCAATTTCATCGCGTCCTTTCAATTACGACACCCGCGCATCTTTTTTGAAATTTGACCGCAAAATTCCCCTGACCTCTCTCCCCACTCTCCTCCAATCCCTCACTCTCTCACCTTTTTCATTTTTTACCGCAATTTCATCGCGTCCTTTCAATTACGACACCCGCGCATCTTTTTTGAAATTTGACCGCAAAATTCCCCTGACCTCTCTCCCCACTCTCCTCCAATCCCTCACTCTCTCACCTTTACAGTACTACCATACCATAAAAATTCCCTCACCTCTCTCCCCACTCTCCTCCAATCCCACACTCTCTCATTTACGGCACCCCGCGCCGGCTCCTCCCCCCTTTTCCAGTGGATGCAAAATTTAGTGCCAGAAACTACCTCTTATTACTACTAATATATTTGCTACTGCTTAAGACAAGTTTTCCAAGCTCAAACCCGCCGAATTTTGATTAAAATCCTCCGTAAAGAGCCTCTTCACACTGCACAGTGCGCAAGGAATAAAAATAAATTGGCCGCACCGTGCAATGACCTCGTGTGGAATGCAAATTATTGCACCGTGCGGCGAAAAAATTTAATAAAAATAATGCACAGTGCAAGAATTGCGAATTCAGCTGCACAGTGCGCGGAAAATTCCCGAAGCGTCGAGGAAAGCGGGAGCGATTTTTTTGCACAGTGCGAAAAAACTGCGACAAAAAAGTTTCAGCGCACCGTGCAATCGGTCGCTCGAGTTTCATCTGTTGCACAGTGCATTCTCAATTCCCAATCCTTTTTTGCAGCCCGCATGCGACAAACCAAAACAATTGGAATGCCGGGCCGCAAACTCCCCAATGGTCGAAAATGAAAGGCGGGCGCGAGAAAAGAAGCAGGAGCGGCCTGTCAAACTTGAGCGACATGCCCGCCAAATCAACTCACCGTTCTCAAACTGCGGCGCGGGGTCGTGGACGTTGGCCAGAATGAACGAAAAGAGCTTGGTGAACTGGGTGGTCATCGCGGCGACGAGGCGCGCGCACAGCCAGACGGCGACGAACAGGCTGCTCTCTGCCGATGTCGCGCCCGGTACATCGCGTCGCGCGGGTCGCGGCGACGGACGGACGGTGTCGCCGAGCGATGGGCGATGCGTGATGATCGCGGCGATGAGTGCGACGGCACTCGTGGCGATCCGAAGGCACAGTCTGCGATGGGAAAAGAGCGATGAGTCAGGTTCACGACGCAAATTTCGCGACAAAAATTGACCAGAAGGAAGCGACAAAGTTCAAAAGACGAGGAAGAGTGGGGCTTTTGGAAATCCGCGATCGCACAAATTTGATTTTGCACAGTGCAATCAGCTCGACGAGTGGAATTTCGAACGCACAGTGCGAAGAACGTCCGGAAATCGCTTCGTTCTTTTGCACGGTGCAAAAAAATTCTTGAAAAGAATCAGGCTGACTGCACTGTGCGAAATATTCATTGCAATGTGTGTTCAAAAGAAAAATTGAAAATGCACGGTGCAGCCGGGAAATTGGCCTAAAATTTTGACCGCACAGTGCAATTAGCCAAAATTTCTTCCGCACCGTGCAATTTTACGTTTTTTCCGCCGAAATTCAAAAAAACGCCTACACCTTTGGGATTTCAAAAGGTTTTCGCCAAAAACAACGACTCCAGAAGCCGTGCGGATTCAGAATTGCGTAATTATTCTTTTGAAATCTTACGGAATTTGCACTCTGACCCTGGGGCACTGATGCATGCGTTATTCGCGACAAAGGATTGGACCGCCTAAGGGGATGTGAGGGAAGATGGTGGAGTTATAGGCAAGGAAAGTAATTTTGCGAATTATGGAGGTAAGATACGAGATTTTAAAGATCAGTCTGTTCGAAGAGACGTCGGAGAAAAAAAAGATAAAAAATCAATAAAAAATCGAATTTTTGAAAATTTTTTTAATTAATAAATTTTAACTACAGTACTGATAAGCCCTCTAAATTGTCATTTTTACCATAATTATTCATTTTTTATCGAGTGGCGACATTTTATGCGATGATCCATCAACTTCTTTCCATTGCACTGTGCAACGGAAAACTGATGTCATAGCGGCGGCCGCTAATTAAGATGATTCCAAAAAATATTACTGCTACATTTTACAACCCACATAGACTAATTTAAGACAATTTTCAAAACATTACAACTACTGCCTAACCCCAAAACAAGTCATCAAAGATCTGCACAGTGCGGTCAACCAAAGATCCCGAAAGCCTAAAAATACCGCTCCAAATCGCAAACACTTGATGCAAAAGGAATGCAGCGCAGGTGCTACTGTATTATTTTGATTACCCAACCAAATGGAAATCGAAACTTGCGCATTTTCCGCGAGTTTTTAGCGGCTCTTTTTCGGGTCCTCGAGTGCACTTAAAACGCCATCAAACCCCCTCAATGGCCGAGTTTCCTCGGCCGAGTGTCGGGTTGGGGCAACCGAAAACAAGACGAAAAACGATAAAATACATTGAGAAACGCCTGTGCGACGGGGAAATTGATGGCATCCGATGCCTAAAGTAATATAAAAAATTGCTTCTAAATGGTGGAAAAGAAAATTTTTTGGCTATATTTTAATTATCCATGGATTTTTTATGTCAGCGCGAACCAAAGAACATGAAAAAATCGCCATTTTGTTAAAAAAAATTTAAAAATTTCAAAAATTTTTTTTCGCAGATCCCGGAAAATGTCACACTTGTAAGTGGATTAGGTTTGGTACATCCTAATAAAATTATCTACTACTTGTTTTGGCCAAAAGAACGCATTGTGTCCTCAAAATTTCATTTTTCCACTGCACTGTGCAGATTTCTAAAAACCGCACAGTGCGGCAAAAAACCGGGGAATTTTGCACAGTGCGGGTTAGGCTGTTGTAGAAAATTACTTGTATTTGATAAAAAAAAAATTTCGACTGTAAATACTCCTCTTAAATGGCCAAAAATCGACAATTTTCATCAAAAATCCCCAAACTTTTGTTTTTTTCGCTGATTTCCGGTCAGAACTCTAATCCCCTAAGGCGTTATTGTCTTTTCTTAGCAGAAAAACCCCCGCGCTGAGATTCCGCACCTTTGTTGCCGGGGAACGCAGACAAAAAACTTGAAGATTCAGAATAAAAATACAAAAAAAAAGAGGAAAAAATGGGTCCAGTCATAGATAACACAATGTAACACTCAAAAACAAGGAGGATACGGCTTTTTATCCGCCTCTTCTCACTTGTCGGTTTACATCTCGCAGCTGCGGAAACAAGGTTCCAAATTTTATCAAATAAAACGCCCCAACATCAGACGGAATGGAGATAAAATGGGGTAAATAGAGGAGGAAAAGGAGCAGAGGAATTGGAAATTGGAGAAAATCCAGTTACAACAGGAGGGCGGGATCAGACAGTGCAAGAAAATAAAAGTTTTGGACAAGGGTTTATATTGGACTAGAAAATTGTGTGAATTTCGGTTTTTAAAAGCTTCTGATGACTAAATTACTATGTAAAATACATCTGTAAACACAGTAAAGTAATCTCCAAAAGCTAAAAAAATTTTAGTCATCTTCCCCGATTTTTTAAAAAAAAATTTTATTTTCGCACAGTGCAGAGCCAAAAATAGGCTAAAAATGGGGCTGCACAGTGCGAATTTTTGAAACCGCGGTAACCGCACAGTGCATTGAAGGACTTGGAACATATCAAGTAAAAAAATTTCGACATGACCAGTAGTTGTTTTGACACTCGGAATTTTTTGTTTTCCGCACCGTGCAACGTCAAAAATAGGCTAAAATTGACTTCGCACTGTGCAAAATCAGGAAACTAAATTATCGCACTGTGCAATGGGGTTTTGATTTGAAATTGAGTTTTAAAATTAAAAATGGGCCTTTTTCTATTAAAAAATCCAAAATTTGTTTAAAATCATGTTTTTATTATCATATTTTTGACTTTCAAAAAAACGCAACCCCAAAAGTTTGAAGTCAAAACCAAAAGTCCAAACTGTCTAAAACTACACCAATTTCGGAGCACGTGAACGAAAAGAGACTTGAGGGATTTCGAGGGCCAAAGCTCTGCATATTCAAGGCGAACCCCTGTATTGTCTTGGTTATTTACAGAACTGACGTTACGGCCAGACACAACGCCCGACGACGTTACGTTTAGTTGAGAGATCATTCAAAAGAAAGGCAAAGAAGTTTGGCGGCGAAAGTGTTTTAGTTTTGGCTCTGAATAGTACTATTGTAAAGGCAAGTCTTGAGTGCACCGTGCAAAATAAAAAAATCCAAATTTTGCACGGTGCGTTCATTTTTTTCGAACAAAAATTTTATCGTTGTTTTACCACGGCTTTAACTTTTAATTCGTATAAGAATTCCGGTATTTCACCCCCTATTCTGCACAGTGCGATCGCTCCAAAACATTGCACAGTGCAGTCGAAAAATTTTCGCACAGTGCAAAAAACAGAATTCCTGGGAAATTAGAAATTCTTTTTAGAGATCGAAAAACAAATTTACAACTTCTAGCAGTCGAAAAAACAACGATTTCCCCCAATTTTGTCCCTCAAACAGCCTATTTTTCTAATCTAACTTCCTCCCTTCGTATAAATTGTCCCCCCTCCTATCATCAGCGAATTTTAATCTCATTTAGGCGGAATTAAAATCGAATCGCAAACAAAGAGAGGGAAAAAGGACTAGGGACAGTAGGAAAAGTAACTGGGGAAGTATGTCAAGAGGGGATTTTGAGGGAAATCTGCCAGAAAAAGAGGGCTTTTTGGTAGATGAAGAAAGATGATTGCAATTTATGACAACATACCATATAGAATAGGGCTACAACTCCCAGAAAAATAATATGACATTGTCAGAATTAAAGGGTAGGCTATAGAAATAACATAAATTCAGTTTTGATGATACTAGCCATGTTATAGTTGTTGTAATGGACGCTATGCAGGTTTAAGACCTAGAACGAACTGTTTGTAGTCATAGGGGAAGATAGTGTAATTCCGAGGGCAGAAGGAGATGTTTGCTATACTTTTTTGAAAGGAAAACAAAACGTTATTTAGCCTCGAGGTAGACCTAGCTCAATATGCATCGTAGTGCCCAGAGGAATGCTTCAATTTTGCTCAAAATTGGCAGGTATTTTGCTACTAGAGCGCATATAAATGTATCCAAGTTTCAGGCAATATACTAAAGATATTGCTGAGCTGTTGCAAAAAATGTAAAAAAATGTAGGCCTTATTTTCTTCTAAAAAATCTATCGCTATTTTTTAAAAATCCAAAGATTTGAACTCTCACAGTCTCCTTGACATTGAATTTTACCATTTTTTATACAAAAAGCCCTTTTTAATTTCCGTATTTTACTTTAAAATTTCCTTTTAAAAATCCCTTAAACTGTCATCATAGTTGATCCCAAAAAATACGAAATTTGCACCAAAAACGGCATATACGAAATCTCCAAATCCCCCGGTCCAAACCTCCTCTAAATCGGTCTGTAATATCTCGAGTATCATGACAACCGCCCATTCAGTTATCCCTTTTTTTGACCATAATCCGGAAAGAATGGGATTACGCGCCCAATAATCACCACAAAACATGCCAATTACGCGCTTGATACGACGGTAGCACAACGGATATGCTGGTGTCGTCAAGGTGATGACTACAATCTGAGGAAGCGACATATGGAAATGAAGAATCGAAAAGGTTTTGCGGGAAAAGTCACGAATCTCACGGGTGTTGGCAATGAATATGTAGATTAGTATGGAGATTTGGAGAGTGGAGAGAGGTTGATAGGCACTCAAAAGGGCCGAGAGGCCCGGAGAAATTGTAGTTTTGAAAGAAAAATGAAAAGTTTTGACAGGATGGATGAAAATACAGTGAAGGGCCCGAGCCAATGGCAAAGAATGTGCCATTTCGCATCCGGGGGGCATCAAAAATGTGGCAAAATGCTTCCCTCTCCAAGTTAAAAAACTTCGTTTTGAAGGGTCCCTCATAAAAAAGGGCGTGCTTTTGAAATACGAGGTTTTTTCACATGGAGAGGGAAGCATTTTGCCACATTTTTGATACTTCCCGGATGCAGAATGGTACATTTTTGGCCAATGGATTAGGTCCGCCACTGTATCTGGAACCTTCAGATTTCCCGCAAATTTTGGACACGTTTTTGTCTGGGGCATTAGAACGTCCTTTCAGCGAATGCCCATAAAACAACGCCTATCTATAACAAACAATTTCAAAGATCCCGAAAGTCACTCTTATGCCAGACTAAACTTCTATGCAACAAAACCCTTATATGTGGTGGTCGATTTTGCCAGAAAATTACAGCACAATTTGTTGGCCATTTTGAGATTCATTATATAGAGGTTTGACTGTATGCCATTCAAGATACGTTTTTTGCCACTGGATCAACTGTATACACTCTTTGGGGTCTGATGGGTCTAGTGTAATATAAAAAATTGGCTGCAGAGATACCAAAAGACAAGTATAGCACATACTGCCTATACTAGAGCTCCTTGCCTATATCTAAATATTAATTTAAGCAAAAATTTTATAGCTTTTATAAATTTTTCTTTGTAATCTTCACAATACAATATAAACCCTCAAAAAATGAAAAATTTAACCCTACAAATCACCCTTCATTCAGCTTAACCTTTCGCATCGGTAAACCCGAAACAAATAATAACAAATTCAAACAATAAAATCAAAAAGTTGAGTCCTCGCGGGCCCCACGGAAACAGCAGCGACCGGATTATCCAACATGGCTCCCAATGCATGGATGTGGCCATAAATTCGGTTATATTCCTTATTATATTTGGCTGTTTTCGCCCAATTTTTTGGGGATGATATCCGCCGGGAAAACGTTTTTCGCGGCCCAAAATTTGAATAAAAGTTTGTGGATTAGAAAGCGGAGAACTCAAGGAATGCACGGTTTGTAGAGTATGCAAAATTTTGACAAAAAAAAATTTTTTTTAATCCGCACGGTGCAAAGTCCAAAATAGGCTAAAAACTGGTCTGCACGGTGCGAAATTTCGAGAGCTCGGAATTGCACAGTGCAGCAGATGTTTTGTAGGAATGGTTGGTCCGTAGATATTGTATAGACATGTTATAGTATTAGAAGGAATAATTCTTCAGCTGTGCACAGTGCAGTCGTAAAAAGAGGCTAAAAATTTCTCCGCACAGTGCGAAATTTGGTAAGCTCTAAAACCGCACTGTGCAATGAATTTTTTTCAGACGGCTTTCTGAAAACGATCTTACAACCAAGCTAAGTCACACAATGAGGTTAAATTTGTCTTCCTTGCGCCATGATGACTAAAAAAACGAAAAATTTTGAACGCACAGTGCAAAATCTGGAAATCTCAAAAAACGCTAAGTATCTCCATCTACATCTCCTTGAAAACCCTCGACTTATCCCCGGAAATCCCAAAGAGATCGCAGCCAAAGACCAGCGGCCGAAAACACTTGAAAATTCCCCCCGTCAAAGAACCCGAAAACAAGCCGAGAATTAATCTGCCTAAGGGCCCACAACACCTCCATCGGACCGTGCCTTTATCTCATGCGACGGCCGGGAAGTATGGCGGAGTAATTCGGGCAGGTCAATTTGATTAAAACGCCTCAGGCAAGTTGGGGTGCCACAAATTTTTGGGGGCCGCAATTGAAAGTCAAACCCCACTTCTTGTGGGCTCGAGGGCTTGGAAAGCGCGAAATAGTTAAATTGAATTTGGATATGAGGGGGTTTCATTAAATGCACAGCAGAGGGGTTTGGGAGAGTTGAGAGGCGAGCTTGAAGCAAGTGCATTGAAAGTTAATCCAAAAAAATATTCAAAGAGTGGTAAAAAATTAAAATTTTAAAATAAATTTACAGAAAATTACAGTAACCTTGGTATTTTTTTTGGATAAAAAATTATGTAAAAATTTTAAAAAAATCAAAAAAAGAATTTTACAAAAAAAATTTTTTTTTCATATCTGACATCAAGTGTAACATCCTTAATATAAGACGCCATTTCCAAAAAAAATTTTAACGTTTAGACTGCCTGATAAGCCGCCATTTCCGTCAGAGTATTTAGCCGTCATCTATAGACAATTAAACCTCCGAAAACAGCTGCGAAATCGGAAATTCCCCTCAGGCAATTAACTGTAAATCCCTTGCAATTCAAGGCAATTTTAAGTCATAGTATAATAAAAACAAAATACGAGAGAAAATATTAAAATCGAGGCATAAAGCAGTTAAATATTGAGATTACTACTTAAAAAATCATTGTTGAAAAGACGAAGGATTACTTTTTTGGGGCCAGTAGGAGTTAAACTCAAAGAAAACAAATCTTTTATGTAAATTCAGTAGCCGGAATCGTGAGTTTTGCACTGTAATTGGCCTATTACTTTGAATTGGAAATGGCCTCCGGATTAACTCGGATAAAAAGCCGGATTTCAGCTGTCCGAAAAATTTACTCCGACTTTTACTGCTTATTCTACTTTCTTTGTGGTCTAAAAAATGCAAAAAAATCAAAATTTCTCTCAAAATTTAGCCTTTGAAAAAATCAATAATTTTTGTGACATTTCGTCAAATCTCAAAAACCCCTAAAAATTAGACGAAAAGACAATTTAACTTCCAAAACTTACAAATCTGGCCATTGGCCAGAACTTTGGAAATAATTTGGCCACCAAAACTTGTCGAATTCAAAGGCCCTGAGGGGGTTTCATGCTGAGGGCCAACCGGAAACCAAAACCTCAGCCCAACAAAAGGTCAAAATTCTGAATGAATTTGGACTCGTATGGAAAAGGAACTTGGATTATGGAGGCGTAAGGAGAGAGAGAGAATGGGGTTCGGAGAGGGGTGGGAGAACAAGTTTGGAAGGTAATTACTGTAATTGAAATGAAGTTTGACGGTTTTTGGTCTGAATGGGCTGGAAAAATGTAAAATACGGAATAAATATGAACAAAAAGAACTTTGAATTTACTGTGTTATAAGTTTAAAATCTCAATTTCACTAAATCAATCATTTAAAAGTGTGGTAAAAAATCGCGGTAAAAAATCTATCTTTTCCGAGGAATATTCACATAGATCTCGATCAAAACTTGTTTTTTGACAGCTCCTCTTCATTTTCAATGTGAATTTCTAGAGCATTTTTTGTGTAGACATTGAATATCTCGAGCTAAAACTTTCAGAAATTGAAATGTAGCCGTTTTTTTTGTAAGATACGACCTATTGAACGGATCGGCACGTACCACTTTTCCCCAGTCAAAAAGGGTCCAAAGACCTCTACAGATTGCAAAAAATGTCAAATTCTGAAGTAAAGCCGACACTGGAAAGAGAAGTAGAATGGAGACCGAAGTGCTCAGAATGTATGGAATTCCTGAAATCCATATGAAAAGGTCACAAAAAAGTAAGGGCATTTACTTTCAGGAGGAGAAAAAAAGTGATGACGTCCTATGACGTCATAATTTTTTAATTTTTTTCCAATTTTTTGAAATTTTTTTTGTTATTTATACGACATGGATTCCTTAATATATATAATTTATAATCTTGATGTTAATTTCACGACCACAACCACCACTGTTACGGGAAAAGACAAACACCAAAACGCACGGCCATAAGGACCATTTCGGATCTGTGGATGTTGCTCCCGCCAGCGCTCGCGACGTTTGTATCGCGTCTCTTCGTAGCTGATGTCATCGTCGAAGGCTGAGGTCTGAAAGAGAAAAATTGAAAAAAATGTCATCAATAAGGGCTTTTACAGTAAAATTTTTGTTTATTTCTCAGTAATTCCAACGATTTTTTTAAAATTTTTTGGTTAAGTCATCATTTTTTGACTCTAAATTTGTGAAGAAACGGGAAAAAATAAGTTCTCTGCCCGTCTCTCCTAATTTTCTATAATCTATCAGCTGTAAAAACAGTCAAAAATCAGGCATAAATAATGATAATAAAATTGTAAATAATACGTCAAATTGAGGTAACTTCGAAAAAATGTCGACTGATTTTTATCTCAAAACTTTTTTATCTATACATAGTTGTAAAATACGTTTCAAAAATTTTTTTTCTTACTTGTTCCGAAAACACGCTGACTGTCCCAAGTATTGAAAGTAAAATATGAGCGGGCAAGACGACCATCTTCTTTACATCCAAATCTGGATTTTTAAGTTGCTGGCATAATTAAAATTCTTGTTGAAAGAAAATGTAGATGGTAATGGAGGCAAGGCCGATCAGTGGTTGTTTGTAAGTTACAGTTTTTGTAAGTGTTCTGAAAAAAGGGATATTAAAGAAAATAAAGATAAAGTTTATAATGCAAAGAAAAAAATAACGGAAAAATGGGGCACGGCCATCAAAATGATAAAAGTTGTTGGCTGAAATCATAAATCTCTTGCTCAATTCAAGTTGAGACATTGAAATGCTTTGCCAGGCTAGAAGCTATGGGGAATAAGGAGAGAAATTGTGAAAAAAAAAATAAATTTTTGTTAGTATCTTTTTTGAATTGTAAGCGGAAAAATCACTCTTTTTTTGCTGGAAAGCAATGTTAAATACTTGGAACATATATAATATAGTATTTATATTGCATATCAATTCCTGAAGATTCTAACTCGCATTTTGGAGATGTAACCACAGTATTTTCTGAACGATTTTTCCTGAAAAGAGGGAGAGTCAGCAAGGCATAGAGTAGACAGAGAAAAAAAAAATTTTTTTTGCTATGTTTCTATCGCTTACAAGGGAAGTACCCCAAGTGCGACGCTCAGATTTTGATGAAACTTGACACAAATTTAGAATAACTTTTTCTAAGATATATGCGAGAATCTTAGCTCGCGCTTTGCAGAAACAACCGAGATTTTTAGATGGAAAGTCGGCAAAAAATTTACACTTTTTGCCGAATTTCGGCACGAAAAGTTTCATGTCTATTTCTACCGTAAAGGATAATTTTTCTACAAAAAATAAAATCTTTCCGAACGAAACTGCTAAAGTTATGGCCAAAAAACGTTTTTCTCTCTGACCGCTCTCCGCGTTTCGCGTACTCTCTCGGCGACAAAAACGGTTCCATATCTCGGTGGCGCTTGCAAAGCGCGCGCTAAAACTTTCAGGAATTGATATTTGGTTTATGCCCGACGCGTGTGCAAAATTTAAAGAAAATCTGAGCGTCGCACTTGGGGTACTTCCCCTGTTAGAAAAAAGCTGATTCTTTGCTAACAATAAAACGCTGCCTTCTCCATTACAAATATAACTCAACTTGTTCATTCTTAAAACCGCACAAAAATTGTCGAATTTTCATAAAAGTTTTCGATTAAAATCTTGATTGTTTCTGCAAAACACCAGTTAGAAAACTCCCAGATAATTAACATAAAAATAGCCTACATTTTTGCAAAGCTTCATAAAAACTCGACCATTTTTCCCTGTAAATCAATACACCTGTCCCTCTCACAAAATCCACAATATCACCTCTCCAAAAACCTCCCCCAAACTTTGTACGGTACTAAATCTATTTTTTCCGCCCTTGAAGACAAAAAATTAAGGAAATAAAATGCGCGCAAATTTCCAAAACAAAAAATCTCCCTTTCTTATAGCAAGACAAAAAAAAATTTTTGGAAATGGGACCGAGATTCGCTGAGAGATTCTTCGAAAAAAAGAGAAAAGGCAACCCGATATCCATGTAACTGACCACCGAAAAGAGGTTAGGTATTATCTCTGCCCATTTAAATTATTTAATTGTTTTGCAGAAGAGGAGAATTAGTGGGACAAAAATGTAGGCGGATTCGGGGTTTTTGGAGATTCTGGAGATGTATTTGGAGGGGAAAAGTTGAGTTGAAAAATTGAGATTTTTTTGACAAGGAAACTATTAGGTTGGACGGAAAGTCTTTGCCATTTTTTATATAATTTTGAAATTTATTTTTTTCGCGCCAAGAATGAGTTTCAACCGTAAATACCTAGTATATACAAGAGTACAATGTGCAGATTTATGTGATATGTGCCATTCGTGTGCTCCGCCAAAACGAGCATAAGTATATGAGGTTTTCCGCTTTGCGGCAATTTCGGGTGGGGTCCAGAACGCAAGCTCTAGTTTCCAAATCGCTTTTGATGAGACTATGAAACTTTGTGGGCTATGTCCAGTGGTCTTTCCGACTACGGCAAACACAATTGTAAATGTTAAAAAAACCTATCGGATAAAATAATAGCTACTCTTTCAACCAAATCCTCAGCAAACGCCCCGCTTAAAAAAGTTTTCTTATTACTCCGCGCATTGCTGATGGTCTGTCTATATAACAGAGTTCAGTGAACAACATGGGTAGCCTTTTACGTGCTACATGGGTAAACCGGGTCATAGGCGCCTCGAGTTATCCGTAAAAAGACAAAATTGCCAAAAATATATAGCCCTAGAGAAACGCGTGTGATTTGCTGACAGTTAACAATGGTTACCCATTGTTTCATGCAGTAGTAGAACGATACAGAGGCTCTATTTTCCACCCTAGAAAGGGAGGATTGGAAAGCTGATATCAACGCTTTTTCAATTTTACGGGTTGATCCAATAGTTCACCAGCGACTTTTTGAAAAACAAATAATTGAGTTCTGTCACGTCACGCAGTAAAACAATTGTCTAATGACGGGTAGCTGAGTGTAAGTGAGTGTCTTTATTTTTGGCATATCATAGTTAAACCCATAGGAATGCATCGGCAAAGCGGCGGCTGCAATTATATTCAAACTTGCTTGGTCTCATAAAAACCACGTTTTCTGGTTCGGTTTTGATTTAATCCCCGCCGGGTTTGCACATGTTAAGAGCTTCAAAGGAAGTCTTTTTAACAGTGCTAAAACAGTTTTCTAGAAGGCTTTGTTAAACAAACCAGCCAAAGATTTCTACTTGTTGACCAAAGATGGGTAAATGTCTAAATTAAGTTCTCAGTTCGTACATGCTTAAGATGGCTGAAGGTTGTGCTGTGAGATAGGGATGCCTACCCCCTACCAACGTCGTATGTTAGTGTTTGCCTTTGTCCATCAGTGCAAGGAAAAATAGCAGCAGAAAAAAAGGCAAAGACTTTCCGTCCAACCTAATACTTTTATGGGGGCTCCTACTTTTTGACGGGACATCTCAAAAAATCAGAAAAAATGTGCTGATCAAGGATATATAAATCTTAGCTGCCCATTTTAAGTTTTTATGGGTGAAAATACCCAAAAACTGGCTTAATTTCCCTACAAAAAGCGCAGGCATTCTAAACGATAAAAAGCGCAGTCGGTCTCTTCCTTCGGAAGAGAACGGTGTGGCCGAGTGGTTAGTGCCGTAGTCTGGGAATCAAGAGGGGGAACGCCGCACTGGTTCGATTTCTCTTTTGGGCTGAATCAACTTTTTTGAAGATGAAGGTCGGAAAAATAAATTTTTGTGCCAAGACTGATTTATTACGTCTTAGAAACTCAATAAACATCATTTTAAGCCAAAATAAAAAGTGTAAACATGTGAAAAATTAAGCGAAAAGGGGTTCATATAGGGCTTTAAGTCAACTTCCGATCGAGTTTTCACCCCTAAAAACCTACAATGGGCAGCTAGGATTTATATATCCTTGATCGGCGCATTTTTTTCTGATTTTTTGAGATATGTCCCGTCAAAAAGTAGGAGCCCCCATAAAAGTACTTTCCTTGTGAGAAAGAATATATTGTGATTCGGCCGGAAATTGATTATTGAAAATTTAAGTTTTTGATTTGCTGGAAGAGCCAAGATATATTCACCGGTACTGGCCAGAGAGAGAGAGGGAGAGAGAGAGAGAGAGAGAGTGCGCAAAATGTGGAGAGCGTTCAAAAAAAAAACAATTTTTGGCCATAACTCCGCCAATTTTATACCGAAAATTTTTTTAATAGAAAAATTATATTTGCTCTTCTAATAATGACGAAATTTTTAATGCACAAACTTGCAAAAAAACTGTCGAATTTTCACCAACTTTTGGGCTAAAAATCTCGGTTACTTTTGCTACATGTGAGCTCAGGATCTCGCAAATTATTTAGTAAAAAAATAATATAAAATTTTCCAAGTTTCTCTAAAAATTTGAGCATCGCACTGTCACTTGTTTCCCTGTTAAATTTCAAGAAATAAAATTGTAAAATTGGGCTTTGCAGAAACCACCGTGATTTTAGAGTTAAAAACAGGCAAAATTTCAAAAAAAAACTGACTTTTCCCAATATTTTTTTGAGACTTTTATTGTTCACCAAGCATCTAAATGCAATAAATGATAAAGTCTAATATATTGCCTACAAATTATAAATTATAAAAGTGCGCTCAAAATCCTAAAATAGACGGAACACACAAGCTTTATTCACAATGTTCGAAAAGAACGGGAAATTTTTAAAATTAACCTTTAGGGAGTTGCAGGGACTTATTGGAAGGTGATTTTAACAACACGAAACAGATAAATTCAGCGATTTCCGGACGCGAGGGACCAAACAAACACGGAAGTTTCATTAATATAAAATCTCTAACTTTTTAATCAATAAATTTCATTACTTCCGAAAAATTAAAAATAAAATTTTTCGAAAAAAATTCCAGAAAATTCTGGACCCCTGCTCTGATGTAAATGTCATTATCCAAATAAAAACATCAGAATAATACGAGTCCTGCAATTTAGCGGCGGATTTCGGGCCGGATTAGTGGCCCAGAAATGAATGAAAAACGGGCAAAAACACAAATATTCGGGACTTGAGATAATATTTTTTGGTTAGGAAAGCCCGTTCTTGCACTTATTAGGGAATTGTAGGGGTTGAATTTTGAAAAAAAGATGAGTAGGTGGGGGAAGGGAGGTAAACTTTATGCATTTTTTGGTGTAACTACACACATTTTATGTAGGATAGATGAAGGGAAAGATCGAAAAAAATTTTATGAAAAGAGGGAAGGGTCTTATTGTTAGATACCGGGGCTAAGACGAGTAAATACCTTAAAAAATTGAATCAATTCGGAGCCTAAGGCAGGTGAATACCACAAAAAGCTTGTAGAAAGTGCCTACAGGGCCTGCCAAAGCCGTTGGATGCTCGAAGAAGGCTCGGCGGCAAAAAAATTTAATTTTTTTTTGTAGGAAAAAATACTTTTTTGACTTCTTTCTCCTGTAAAAATATTGTACAGGGGGCTAGTAATAACTTATAGGGAAGTACTG